CAGACTCAGGGTCTTGGATGAGGCCATCAGTGGAACAAAGGTCGGATTCACCCATGACATGAATGCATCCGACAGCAAACTGAAGGTCCCAGATCTTGACAGACCATAATGACAGGCTGAGTGAAAGGGAGACTCAGACTCACAATAAAGAGCAGGATCCTGGAAATGGAATTTGACAGCATGACATGCGAGATGTTGGGCTCAATCCTAGCTGTGCGGCATGGCAGGCTTGCCATGAAAATGAGCAGTAGACTCAGCTCTGAGCACCTCCCCTGTCAGAATGGAGGATCCAACCCAGAATGGCAAAAAGAGTCGGAAAGATAGAAAAGTGTGTCTGGTGCACCTGGAGAAGGGGCAGCTGTGAGAAACACGGCAACTTTAAGCATGCGGAGGAATAGGTGAAGATGAGGTGACTTTTAAGGCGTTTTCTGAGCCTAAGGTTTTATGGATTTTATCGTAATCGCCCAAAAAAAGAAATAAGGAAAGAGGGAGGGAGGATGAAAGGTGGGTTGTGATTGTCCATGTAAGCTTTATTTGCTAAATGGTAGTAACCTTTTTGTTTAGTTACAATATGTGTGCAGGAAAGGACACGGCAGAGGCAGACACGCAGTGCACTTTGCAAAGGAGGCTGTCTGTGTCATTTCCAGTACATTATGGGAGAGATACCTACTCCCCAGAAGTCCCCTCAGGCCCCTCTGAAAAGAAAACCCTGTCCCATCTGCAAAGAAAACCCTGTCCCGTCTTCCACCGCACAAATTGGTTCTGTCCATTTTTGAACATGTACAGCACCATTTGTGTTGCTGTGTGGTGGTTCGCTGAGTGGGTCTGTGGCTATCTGTGCCTTGCCGTCTCTTCCTGTCCCTACTGCGTATGCCCACACTTGCAAATATCCCTGCCTGCATATGGATGACCTGCCAGCCTCACCTCTAGCCCAGGTCCTGGTTCTTTCCACCTGGGCAGCACGTGCTCATGGGCAGGTTGTATTTTATCATAATACGCTGCGCAAAGGGCTGAGGGTTGGTGGCGTGAGGGCGGCAGTGACCATGAGAGGCAGCCTGGGTAGCTCCAGGGAAGCAGACACCCCGAGGCAGGGTGTTGGGCAGCGTTTCTACAGCGGAACAGGCCACTGTTGTTGCTTCCTGAGCCGCCCTAGAGACATGGAAAAGGCAGCTCATGCCTTTGGCCAGATGCCTGATGGCCTTTTAGGGCAGTTCAGCCTTGGCAGGGCCTCGTTCCCCTCTGAAGGAGTGAAGATGAAGTGGTACCAGAGGGAGCCACACTGACCCGTAGGGGTGTCCTGACAGTCTCTGCAGGGTGTTGGCTGGGCTGCCCCTCACAGGAGCTAGAGGAAGTACTGGAAGCCGGGAAGCACGGTGCCCCTGCATTCCACTTCGGGCCTCTGCTGGGGATTTGGAAAAGTCATTTCCAAATTTCCCAGCGCCTTGGGCTCCTCTGAGTGTTAATCCAGTGTCCTGGTCTTACAGAGGCCCAAGAGGATGGCGGGGCAGGGCTGAAGCAGAGGGCTGGCCTGCTGCACAGTCCAGTAAGCTGGAGCCTTGCCTTATATGACAGTGGCTGGGATGGCTCCAGTGGCTTTTGCATCCTCCTTTGTCTGCCTGGTTTGAGTTCCAGGAGGCCTTGCCAGGTGGGGTTGGGTAGTTTTGGGGGAGAGGGGGAGCCCAGGCCAACCTTAGCTGGGCAGCCTACTGCAGTCTGGGTGGTGTTGAGGGTGAGTCTCTGCTTTTCCTCCTCTAGAGTAAGTTCTCAGTCTAAAATTAAAAAGTGGTCCCCTCTCCCTGTGCCCCAGTGGGAACTGAGAGTGCAGGGGACTGTGTTTAAAAGGCAGGGAGAACCATTAGGATGAAAGGCAGTGGGCAGGTGGGGGCAGCCAGGGGGAGCCCCACCCTCAGAGGTGAGTTTCTTTTCATCCATGCATCCCCCCTCCCCTCAGTGCTTTTTCTGGTGTTTTTCTTCATTTCTGGACATGAGCCCCATCCTGACCCACCTGGCCTGCCTCAGCCTTTCTGAAACCGTCTAGTCTCCACGTCACCAGCCCGCCAGCCACCCATCCCCCAGGACCACCCCTCCCTGCCCGATTGCTAGGGTGCAGGAGCTCTACGCAGGCCTGGCTTGGATTACTGCCGCCCAGATGCAGGGCTTCTGATTCTGGCTGCAAGTTGGCTAGGAGCAGCCGCTCAGAGGGGCCATTTACCTCCCACTGAGTTCCCTGCTCAGCTGCTCCTGACTCCAGGAACAGCTGGAGAGCAGGTCCTGGCTGACAGTGAGGGGAAGCCAAGTGGGGTGTGTGATGTGGCTGGGGCCCAGGGAGAGACTGGAGAGTGGGGCTTCAGGTCGGGGGAGGGTGTCTAGCCGCACCCACGGGGGTCTAGTGTGGGAGACCTGAGGACTAGAGGCTCCTGTTTTCTGTCCCAAGGCACAACCCAGATGTGGCTGCCTCTCCTTAGGACGTGGAGGTGGGGTGGGAACGCTGAGGGCTGCTGCAGAAAGGGGTCAAGGCTAAGGGTAGACAGGGTTGGGGAGGGTCCCGGGCCAGTTAATATCAGGTCTTCCCAGTCAGTAATGGATGGAGATAGCTGGTCTCTCTCAGGGTTACCAGATAAAATGCAAATAGGGCATGGGAGAAACTTGGGATTAAAAAAAAAATAATTATTCTTTGCATATCTATAAGAAATTCAGATTTAACTGGGCATCTCATATTTTTATTGGCAAATCTGACAATCCTGTCTCCCCGCCCCCCAGCTGAATTCCTTCTTTAAATAAGAGTTTTATTGAACTGTAACATACAGAGCACAGATTGTTAAGTGTGTAGCTCAGCGGATTTGCACAAGTCGAACACATGTGGAACCGGCACCCAGATCAAGAAATGAAACCTGAGCAGAACCTGTCCTGCCCCCTGCCATGTGTCACCAGTATCCCCACTTCCAACAGCTGGTACTTGTCCATTTTGGTTCTTTACAGAAGTGAAATCACACACATACACTGTTTTGCATCTGGCTCCTTCACATGACACCGTGATGGTCATTGTGCTCTTGGCTCGGCATCGTTCGGGAAGGTCGAGTTGTATGGGCCTGTTAATGGGTTCCATTGGCACAGCACTCACTGCTGCTTTCTTGTTTTGTACTAAGTGCCTAGGAGGAGGCCCACTGAGTCTTGGGGTCTGAGCCATCGTGGACATCATTAGCAGGTCTTGCCAAACAGCTTACTGAGAGGAGGTGCTTGTTTACGTTCCCGCTGGCTGCAAAGTGCCCCTCAGTCCTGCACCTGCCCTGCACCCTCCCTACACTGGGCCTCTTCTTTACTTTTCATGCCCGCTTTCTGGTGCATGGTGGTGCCGCTGCCTCTGCTGCCTTTCTTCTTTGTTTAATCAAGAACCTCTTGCTTTGTTGATTCCTCTGATTTTCTTGACTAAGTGCTATCACAGAAAACAAACGAGGCCCCTGGTTCAAGTGCCAGCCTGCCCAGCCTACCTCAGCCCCCAGCACTGTGCAAGGCCTGGGCAGCAGCAAGCTCAGAGGCAGCACGGGCAAGGGAGGGGCCTTCAGTGCTGGCTGGGGGGTGCAGCTCCGTCCTGCTCCCCTAAGTACTTCCTTAGAGAAACATCATTCTGAGTGCTGCCCATGTCTTGCTGTTCCATGTCCCCTCCTTCAGTTCTTCGTGATGTTGGTCTACCCTGTGGGAGTGGGAGGAGAGCATTTCTCCTCTAAAGAGCCAGCTCCAGCCCAATAGCTTCCTCCAGCCTCAGGAGTTCTCCTTTGCTACCCCTGGAGATGGCTTTCCACTGGAATTAGTGGAAATGATGGGGCTGTGGCCACATCAAAGTGCATGCCAGGGGCTGACATCTGCTGCCCGTGGGGGGAAACAGGTGTGTGTGGGTACATGGAAGATGTAACCCCACTGTGGAGACAAGCTCTTGTGGGGAGCTAGGGTGGAGGAGGGGCCCTGGACCCCTCTTCCCACCCACCTCCCCAGCCTCCCTTGGCCACTGCCACCCACAGCCCCAACCCCTGGTCTCCACGTCCCTCTTCTCTCTGCTCACTCCAGCCCTCAAGAGGTCTTCAGTCTTGAGGAGGGGAGATACCAGCTCCACCCAGAGTAACTCAGGACTGTTTGGGGCTAGGCTCAAAAGCCCAGCTCAGAATGACTCAAGCAAAAGGGATGTTTTCGGCTCACAGCCGACAGACTGACAGACCCACTGTATGGACCCAAGGCTGGAAACTTCAGGCACAGCAGGCTCTGGGTGCTATTGAGGCCTCCTTCCATCCTGTTTGCTTCATCTTCCAGGCTCTCCCATAAGGAGACAGGGTAGACACCGGTGGCCGTGGGATCACCACCTCCTGCCAGATTGGTGGCCCTGCTGGAAAGGCACACACTCTGCTAGTAGTTCCAGCCAAGACCCCCCCAGGCCACTGCCCACAAGAACTGTGATGAACCAGGCCTGGCTCCTGTGCCCACCCTGGGAACCCAGGTTTGGGCCGGTTGGGGAGGGGTTCTTCAAAGGAAAGTCAGTGGATGCTGGGTGAAAAAGAACCAACAGGATTTGGCCTCACCTGGCCAGGTCACCCACCTTCCACTAGCGTACGTGGGCCAACAGGTTCTAATGCTGCAAAGAGAAGGAGGGCAACGGTCCTGCCAAGCAGTCAGTTATTTCCTGTCTCTGTGTGTCCACAGACAAGTAGAAGCACAAGGAGGGAAAACCAACTAAGAAGAAAAACACTACCATGCTACCCTTCAAAGTTGCCAGTTACATTACTTTTCTCTTTTTGCTTATTTTTTAACTTTCCCATCATGCACGTGTGATTGCTTCTAAAGTAATAAGTGCCGTAAAGCAAAGGAGAAAGCCGGGGTCCTCCCAACAGAGTGTCGCTCTCATGTTCACCTCTCGGTGGGTTCCTGCTCCGCCCCGTGTATGCCACCACCACCACCCCCGGCCCACCCCCGAGTGTCATACCCCTCAGTCTCTCTCACTCTTTCTCTCACAGGCAGCTTCGAAGCCAGCTCAGCCTGGTGGTCATCGCCCGGGTGCTGGGCCAGCAGGACACGCTCCCTCTCTGGCAGGAGAAGGCTCAGGTGAGTCTGCGCCTCTGCCCGCTGTGTCCGTCCAGGCCTGGGAAGCCAGTGGGCTCAACGCCCTGCTCCATTCAATGCTTTTCCCAAAGGTTAGAAGCCTTAGGCCGGGAGAGCCGGACTGAGTTTGAATTTTTCACTCAAATCCTTGCATCGGCTAGTTACTTTTTGTGTGCCTACTGTGTGCTAGGCACTGAGAATAGAGAAGGAGGTATACGTTACTTTTTTTTTTTTAAGTATGACATAAGTATATATAACATAAAGTGGTGAAGTATATAAACATAAAATTTGCCATTTTAACTGTTGTCTTTTTTTGACCATCTTAATCATTTGAAGTATGAAGTTCTCACCTGTTTAAGTGCAGAGTTCAGTGGCCTTCAGCAGTCACAGCGTTATGCAACCATTACTACCATCCACCTCTAGAACTTTTTCATCTTCCCAGTCTGAAACGCTGTACCTGTTCCTTAAACACTAACTCCTCTCCCTCTCCTCCCACAGCCCCTGGTTGTACCACATTTTATAGGCAGGGAAATGAATCCTACTTTATTGAAACTGCTCCTTCCCAGTGTTCTCTGTTCCAGTGTTAGACATGCTTAGGGTGGGAGGGAAGTGGAATTTTGTCTGCTTCCCAGTCTTCTGCTCCCCAGAAGCTCTGACTATGACCTCCTTAAAGCTCAGAGAACATCCCTGCAGGGGCCCTGGGTCACGGCAGGGAGATTGAGAATGTTCTCAGCCCCAAGATACTCCCTGGGATCCCAGAAGAGGTGCTAAATACAGCCAAATCCTCCAGCTCAGCACCTGGAGAGGCCCGGCAGGCCCAGCTGCGCGTCTCTGGTCGCTGGAGGTGTGCAGGGCAAGCCTGCGTAACCCCTGCGCAGAGTGCCGAGGGAATGTTCCGGCACATTGCACATCCTGGGGCAGAGTGGACCCTATGGCTGAGTCTGATTTTGCACGGAGGAAGCTCAGAAAGGTGACTGTTTGAGTTGGCTTATCAGAGCCAGCCGGGCCTGGCTCTTGCCCTGGCCATCCCTTTTGCCTTAAATGCTTCCCCCCTAGGACTTAGCATGGCTGGCACTTCCTGTCATTCTCATCCCTTCTGAAAGATCACTTTCTCTAGGAGGCCTTTCATGAGCACTGAACCCCAAGTGCCTTGGCACCATCAACCTGTTTTAAATTATTCGTGCCATATCCTGATATTTTCTTGTTTGTTCAGGGTCTGTGTCCCACACGCACGCACACACACTCACACACACGCATGCATGTGCGCGCGTACATACCCGCCTGTTGGCAAGTACCGTGCCTGGCACAACGGGAACATGGTGCACACTGTGGGTGCACACTCGGGAAGCCTGAGTTGCCAGTGTGTGTGTGAGGGGAACATTCCCCAGGCAGAGACCTGAGGAGGAGCAAGCGAGGGAGTGGCCTGCACAGGGGCCACTTCACAGAGGTAACAGCATCTCTGTGAAGGAGAACAGAGGGACCACACAGTGTCACAGGGGGTGCCATGCAGTAAGGGACAGGGCGGGCAGAAATACAGCAGTGGGGACAAGACCAGGTGTCCCCAGAGGGTTCCGGAGTGGGTGTGGTCACTGAACCCCACGGAGAACTGAGCACAGTGTCAGCAGAGGGAGGTGACAGGGCAGAGCTCTGGGAATAGATCAGGGAAGGCAGGCCCAGCTGTGGGTGGCGGGCAGGGTAGCCACCGGCCACCAGCAGCCTTTGGCAGTGACAGGAGAGATGGGGTGGGGTGCTCCAAAGTCAAGGTGTTTTTTATTGGCCAGAGCCTGTGCGTGGGAGGGTGAGGGGAGTTAATGGGAGGAAGGGCCTGGAGGGTGTCCTGCAAGGTAAGGGAGGTAAGTGAACAGGCTGTTGAGTGCGGACGCCACCCCCAGGGGGAGCTGTCCTGAGTTCCCACCGCCTGTTGGGCCTTACCCTGTCCATCCGTACCACACCCATTGCCCATCTGCCCATGTGCTCATGAGACCCTGGCTGAACGCATCCTGTGTGCCAGGCTCTGCACCAGGAAACGCCCTCAGAGGAGAAGGTATTAGTGGAGTGAAAAGCAGGGGCAGTGACTGTCTGCCCCAGGCAGTGTCTCCCAGGGGTATCCTGACAGGGGCCTGGAAGGAGGAGTCAGTGCTTGTGCTGCAGAGAGGAGTCTGCAGGCGGGCAGTACAGCTGTGCAGAGCCATGCCAGGATCTTAGTGGCTCTAGGGGAGGAAGGGCCAGTTGGGGCCTGCCCATGCCCTCCATGCCTTTCCCATCTTGACTGCAAGCCCAGGGCCACGGCCTCCTCCCAGGTCCCCGCTGCAGGCACTCCCCTTTCCAGTCTGGCTTGTCAGACATATCCTCATGAAACACGCTTTCAAAGGGCACCTCGGCCCCACAGCCGCCCACATCCAGCCATGTACCCCCTTCTCTCAAGGTCTCCTCTATGCAGCCTGCCAGTGCTGCCTGTTCCTCCTGGCCTTCCTCCCAGGCCGGCCCCACCACATCTGCACACACCTTTGTGCGCTGGCATTTCCACCCATCACCTCCCAACTGAACAGCTAGCAGACTACCCAGTAATGGCTGTATCCCAGGGGCCATCTCAGAGCTTGCCTGTTTCCCACAGCAGCCCCAGGCAGTGAGGACTCTGTTTATCATCCATCTTCTACAGATGGGGAAGTCTAGGCAGGCGCAATAGGAAACTTCTTAGGGTCTCACAGAGGGAAAAGTGTGGAGCTGGGCTTCAAGCTTAGAACCCTGGCTCCAGAGTTTGTGCCCTTGACCCTGCAACGTGCCATCTCCACTTCCCCAACCCCTTCCGCAGCTCTCTGTATGTGACAGCCTGTACCACAGCTCCTGCTTCACGCTGCACAAGCCCTGCTGGTCCCTTGAACTTTAGTCCTGGGTGGCAGATAAGGACAAGGGTCATCTCTTCCTCTTCATCGATGCATAAGTGCTTGATAAACTGTATCCATTGATTCACTGGGCGGCGGGGGGCAAGGGCTGAGAATTGACTCTGTGGGAGGAGAGGATCTGGGGTGAGTGCTGGGCAGAGGATTCTACGGGTACTGCTAGGCAGTGGGGTCCCAGTACCTGGATTGCTTGGTTCCCAGTCTCAGGCTGCAGTCTGCGGCCACAGGACCAGGAACAGGTGCCAGATAACTGAATTTGAGAGTCAGGAATTCTGTAGGCGATCAGGAGGTAGTGACCGCAAGGCTTGCATTTTCTAAAAGAGTCTCGGGGTCAAACTGCCCCTGTGGTTCCTGTGACTCCTGGGACGGTCCCAGATTTAGCCTCAGGTCTCCAGACACTTCTCAGGGCACTGAAGATACAGCCCTGAAGAGAACTCAGTCCCTTCCTTATGAAACTCGGGGTCCAGGGGGAGATGGACACAGAGACCAAGGAAGAAGTAAACATTGGGCATGCCAGGTGGAGATATGTGCTATGGAAGAAAATAAAGCCAGATAAAGGGGAGAGGAGGTGTCCGGAGGCTGCTGTTTTATAAGGGTGACAGGGACATTTGAGCACAGACCTGAAGGAGTTGTGCAGTTTTCTGGGGGCAGAAGAAACAGCAAGTGCAAAGGCCCTGGAGCAGGTAAAGTCTTCTTAGGAGAAAAGCATGAAGCCAGTGTGGCTGGAGCAGAGGGCCGAGGGCTGGGCAGGAGGAGTGGAGGGCTGCCCGCTAAGTGGAGGTCACTCCCTCAGAGACTCCGGCAGTGGTGGGGCTTTGATTCTCATGCCTAAGTAGGGAGCCCTTGGAAGGTTTTAAGAGGAGAAATGTAACCAGATTTGCAAAGTGTTTACAATTTACTCTGGCAGCTGTATTAAGAATAGACTATTGGGCATGGGGAGGAAGGAGGCGATTGCAGTAAGCGTAGTAATTTACTTATTATTGTTATCTGTCCGCCCCACTAGAATGTAAGCCCATGGTGGCAAGTCAGCCTGGGGACGTGGTGGCGTAGGTGGTGAGAAGTGGTCAGATTTGCAGTGTATGTCCTAAGGACAGACAGCAGGATATAGAATGTGAGAGAGGAGACTCTAAGATCTGCACATCTGGCAGGGCGGAGAGCCCTGAGGAAGGCACAGGTGGAACAGGTTTGGGGGAAAGCCAGAGTTTGCATTTTGTCCCAGGTTACCTCTTGCCACACAGCAAGCCTCTTTTGTCAAGTCATGCCTTCCTGTTTGGAGTTTGGAAAGCATGGGCTTCAAATGGCCAAGGTCAAAGCGGGGCTGAGGGTTGCATCTCCCAGGGAAAGGCTGGCTGCAGTTCTGCCAGCTATCATTCATTCATTGAACAAATGAGGATTAAACATGCACATGTGTCAGGCACTGTGCTAGGCTCTGGGAACACTGCAGTGAACAGAACTGCCCTTATGGGGCTTACATTCTGGTGGGGTGGGCAGATAATAACAACAATAAAAAAAAAAAACAATAAAACAACAACAACAACATAATAATAATTACACAGCATGTTAAAAGGTGATAAATGCCACAGAAATACAGTAGTGTGGAGTTCGGATGGAGAGTGCAGAGGTGTGGGGAGCTGGGCAAGCCTGGCCTTGCAGAGCAGGTGAGCCTGGAACAGGGGCTGGAAGTTGGGGAGGGGACAGCTGTGCAGTACCTGTTCGGAAGGCCCGGTCAGGGCACAGGCTCCAGGAAGCAACAGAGGCCAGCAGGGCCTTGCAGACACACCCCAGCCTGGGCAAGTGGGGGCCGCAGTCAGGAGACAGGCCGTGCTGACAGCGCCCGAGCTGGAACTCTGCTGCCTCCTCTTGCTGGGCAGACTGCCGAGGCCAGTGGAGACCCGCCTCCTTGGGTGATCATCTGCTTCTGGCCTGGCATAGTCTGTCCTCAAGGGCTGAGTGTTTACAGAGCTGGCTCCCAGAAATGGGGCCAAGGTGGGGAGGTGCGCTGGTCAGGCCATGGCCCAGCCGGGACCGCCGCCCAAACAAGCCCTCGTTCTGGGAGAAAGGGGTCTGTCTTGTGGATGGCTGAGCTGGAAACAAAAGGGATCAGAAGGTCGAGGCTTGATACACAGAGCTAAGCAAGTGTAAGGGAGAACATGGGAGCTAGTGTCCTCCTCCACCCAGCCTAGCCCCACCCAGGGCTCCGTAGCTGGGAGGGTCCAACCGGGTGAGGCTGCCTGCCGCCTGAGGGCTGCTTCTGGGGGTGAGGACTGTGCTTGCACAGCTGTGAGCCTCAAGCAGGCAGCACTGTTTTGGAAATTACCGCAGCCTCGCAAGGCCTGAGCAAGGTGGCATACTGCGGTTTTGGTGAGGCTCCAGGTTGAGCCTGTCTTCCCTAGAACCTTCCCTCTCTCTCCCTGCTGCATCCTCTTCCCTCTGAAGGGATCAGACAGGAGCAGAGGCCTGACTCCCAGCCCTCAGCCCAGCTGCTCTTGTGGGCTGTCTGAGCCCACGGTGAGCAGGTGTCTGCAGATGAGTCAGGGGGAGGAAGCCAGGTGTTCCGGGCAAGGCTGGGCTTGAGCAGGGAGCTAGGCTGGGGGGCTCGGCCCTCACCCTTTTGGCCACTCTGCACCTGCTACATCTGAAGAGACAGTGCCTCAGTGAACTCCCCTGAGTCTGCTCCTTGGTTCTGCACCACCTCCCCTCCCCAGGGCTACATGTAGCCTCGAGGGGCCAGGGGCTCGGAGCATGTCTGCCTGCCTGTCCACAAGTTCACTGGATGGCCCTCTCTGAGGCTTGGCTGAGGCTACCCAAATAAGGCACCAGGGCTGGGTGGGAAGGAGTGCTCACTGCAGACACCTGGACCTATGCAGGCCACAGCTGGAGGTGGGGACACTGGCCCATTTGTTGAGAGAGGGTGAACAATTTAAATGGAGGGGGCAGAGCTAGCAGGTTAAGTGACACATCAAGCCAATACAGGGTGCGGACCTTGTGGGGAATCCCGCTTCCCACAGAACAACTGTAGAAGGACATATTTGAAACAAAGAAAAGTGAACATGTTAGGTCATATAAGGAATTAATTCTTGGTAATTTTGTGGGCAAGAGAATGGTATTGTGATTATGTTTGGGGGGAAAATCTTTTTCTGTTAGGAGTTCTTTATGGGTAAAATGATAGGATGTTTAGATTTGCTTTAAAAGTCTCTGGAAGGAATATAGGGGTGTGTGGGGGGTGATGAAAAGGGCAGGTGGTGTGAGGATGACGGGCATGGGGGGTTCATTCACAGCCTCTCGTCTTCCCCTAGCGGTTAACCCCCACAGGAGCAAGTTAAACGGGAAGAGGGACATGGGAGCGTGGGCCAGCAGGCATGGGCAGCCCTCAGCGGGGATGGGGTCTTGCTGGTGGCAGAGGAGACCCCCTCTGCTGCTCTTGGTTCCTCTAAACCGCAAGTATCTGCTTACTGCAGGCAAGTGGATCCAGCCTCCATCCATGCAGCTCTTCTGAGTTTACCTCTTTCAGGAAGGGCTTGCCTTGTGTGCTTGTGTGACCTCGTCTCCTGGGAACAAGGTGTGTGCTTGTCTGCATTTTACAGACAGGACACTCAGCTCCCAAGTGACAGGTGGATCCAGGTTCTGGAAGTCCATACTCTGACCTGCCACTGCCAGCTCAGGCAACCAGGTCCAGAGTCCCTGAGGGGCCCTGAGCACCCTGCTGCCACCCTCCGAGAGTGACAGCCTCCCTTCTTCTCCCCAGCTGTTAGTGCTCAGTCAGCTGCTGAGCTTTATGAAGCTGTCATCCCTCAGTCAGTACCTGGGCTCTGAGACCTCATCGTCCTTCCAGGAGCAACAGCCAAAGGCCAGCGCCGAGACAGACCGTGAGGTGAGCACCCAGCACCTACCCACCTCGCCTGGGAGCGGAAAGGCAAGGCTGTTCACTGCTCTTCCCACTGTGGGCCCTGTAGAGACATAGACCAGCAAGCTGCGCCTCTGATGAGGACGTGCTCCTGGTCTGGGCTCAGCCTGTGACAGTGCCCTCACCCGGGCCCTGTGGGGCGCTGTGTGCACAGGTGTCAGCCACTCTTCTGCCCAGCCCGCATCGGGTTCTGCTGCATCCTGTGTAACCTGGTACGTCTTTGTCCACCATGGGCGCCCCCACCGTTAGCCTTACCGCACCATTTGGAGAGGATACAGGAGCAGAAATGCTGGTGAGGGGAGTGGAGTGGGAAGTAAGACTAGGATAATGACCCCACGCGAGAGGCACCCTGTTCTCCAGGGGCAGAGCTGGGTCCAAGCTCTATGTGGCTGTCACTAAGCCCAAGTCTTTGGCCTCCCTCTTCTTCCTCACTGACTTTCCCAAAAGCCATGCTTTAGCAAGAGTCAGGGCAGTGAGGACCCCTAGCTGGCAGTGGTGGTGTTTGGAATGGTGCTGCATGAGGCCCCTGGGGTGAACATCAAGCAGGGTGGATGTGGGGGCCTCAGTTCTGGACTCACAAGCCTGGCTCCCTGGGGAGTGGGGCAGATCTCGAGCACCCCGGCCCTGGGGACCGGTATGAGGAATACAGATAGGCATCTTCCTAATTGGGTGAGGTGCTCATTCCAAAAGCTCACTCTGATCCAGAAGTCCAGCCTTTGGGCATCCTGCAAATCAGATAAATGAATTAATTAATGTTAACGCAAATGGACCGGTAAGAAGATATGAGAATCCCCAGGTGTGTGTTCTCTTCTGGAACGTGTAGGGGAGGTTGTCCCTCAGCTGAGCCAGATGTTAGTGCACTTACAAAGTTGCTGCCTCCTGGGAGCGTGTGAGTGTCCCCATGTCCTGTCCTGTGCCAGTGATTTCCTGGGGAACTAGAGTGTTACGGAGGCTGAGTTGGGTGTCCGGGGGTGGGTGGTCTGTCTGGGAGGCAAGCCTCAGGACTGTGCTGGGTGAAGGAAAAAAGAGGGAAGACGAAGAGGAATGATGAGAGGGAAAGGGGGCGGTGTGTCCGGTCTGGCCACATGAGCAGTATGACCTCCAGGCTCCTTAGGGCCACTCTGTGACCTCGCTTAGTGGACTGAGAGTATCCTTTATTTCAAAGACTGTTCTCATGCATGTAAAGGAGGTTGTGAAGCATCCCCTGGTCAGCTGTCATATTGGAAATGACCCATTTGGCCTGGTGACATAGCGGTGTCCCCCAGAAGTGTAGGGCACGCTGGTCGGGACAGTGGGAGAGGCACTGAGGCTCTCAGATGCCTTTGCTGCAGCTCCATCCCACCTGGGGTTGATCCTGGCCTGAGAGGGAGGTGGCCCAGAGCAGAGGAGGGAAGGGGAGCCGGTGGGGCTGGTGGGGGGCCCACTGAGGGGCTGTGCACAGAAATGTGGCGTGTTCTGTCCCCCTGGGCTGGGCTCTGTTCTGATCAGGCAGGGCCAACCCAGCCCTGCTCCCACCTGTGCCCGGCTGACTCCTCCTGAGGCCCCAGCCCCGTTCATCTTCAAAGATGATCAGGCTGCTCACCAGCCAAAAAGGGTGGCGGCATCATCCGCCCTGTTTTACAGGGAGCAGTGGTCTGGGCGCTGAGTCTTTCATCCTCAAGCTCAAAAGCTTTGGCTGCTTTCTCCTCGGGGTGCAGTGGGGACACCAAGGCCAGAGTGAGGCCGGCCCCAGGAGACCCAGACCGGAGGAAATGGGGACAGCCCTTTCCCAGCCTTTGGGCCCCATCCACCAGGCCCTGCTGGCTGCTGTCTAGGAGATTTCCTGCTCTGTGGGTCTCAGCCCTCCTCCAGCCCTTGCAGATAAACACTTCTGCCTCCCTACGTCCCCTCTCTCTGCGGGGCCTGTGAGCTCCCAGCCTTCCCCCAAGGCTGGGAGAGCCACTCTCTGCTGCCCACATCATGACTTTTTCTTCTCACTGATCCCATGGCTTTGTGGTTGTCCCTTATTGTGTCCCCAGCTGGACTGTGGGCATAGCCAATGTCTCTCAGCATCGCATGATGTTTGGCAGTAGTGAGTGCTTGAATGAATGATATAATTTTAACACAAACGAGTGTTGCAACTTTAACACCTCTCCTTCTCTGAACTCTTCTCTCCCCTTTCCCCCCATTCTGGCTGTCCTGTCCTCCTTCTGGTGACCTTCCCCCTCTGCAGGCCCTCTGACCAGCCTCTGCGAGTTTGCACCCTGGCCCCTGTCATGAGGGCTGTGAGGGTTTGTAGCCTGGGCTTCTCTTGTGAGGCACTTGACTTCAGAAGCATCACCTGCTTCTGAAAGAACCAATCACAGCACGTTGTGTGTGATTATGAGCCACTGAGGTTCTGCCTGGGAAGCCTCACCACCAAGGGGCAAAAGAGACAGCCTCACCACCAAGTGGGCACAGGGTGGGGGACCCAGGCAAGTCCTGTGCTGGCTGTTTGTCCTGGCTGGGTCAGAGCCACCAAGTATCCTAGAAGGTCACCACTGCGCTCATGGAATATGGGAACCCCGCTTCTTAATGGGGTCACTAGAATACTTGCAGCAATTTCAAGTGCTTTTGGATAAAGAAATGGTTGCCTAGACCCTTGCTGGTATGTGGGTCAAATATTTCAAATAGAAAACAATGAAAGCCCAATAAACTAAACTTGAGTTTGTTACCTCCCCCTCACCTGCGTAAAGAGACGCAGATAGGAAATCCTGCTTCAGGAAAGGAGGCTTAGCACATGTGAGTGAAATGTGACGCATAGGGAGGGTCCAAACAGAAACCTGTTCACTAGATTCCCCTCTGTGTTCTACTGTTTCTGGGTGGCCTGGCAGAAATTTAGTAAACATTTGCTCTTTCTCATCTACCTATGAATTGCCTGCCTCCCCCTCTTGAGTCCAAAATGACATATATACCTCTGTTTGCCTCACTGTCTTTGTAATTTTCATGCTTATATGAATCCCCCACGTGCAAGTATTAAGGTCTGATTTTCTCCCCTTAGTCTGCTTTCTGTTTTTTGAATTATTCAAACGAAATGTAAAGGGCAAGGGGAAAGTTTCCTGTTCCCGACAGTGGCTGTAAGTGGCCCTGTGCTTGCCCGGTTTGAGAGGGGTGGTCCCAGAGGCTGCCAGACAGAGGTCAGAGTGATGCTTGGGACCTGAAAGCGGGAAGAAGAGGTCTCAGTGCAGGAGTGTGCTCCGAGAGTTGGCTACCAGACACTCCGCTCCAGCCCAGGGGACCAGTTCTGCCAGAGACAGGGCCTTCCCAGCCTTCCCAGCAGGCTCTCCTTTCAGCCCCATGCAGACAAACATCTTGTGTGTGACTGGACTTGATTTGCTACTGTCTCCTCAAAGCCACCAGCTCAGCCTCCCCACCCAGAACCAGGGGTTCCTGGGGCTTTCTGGATTTGTCGTCGTTGTCGTTGTTGTTGTTGACTCCTGCACACCATTGTCCATGTAAGAAACATCCAAATCTATAGAGAATTTTTTATGAGTTTATTTGAGCCAAACTGACAACAATCTCTGGGAGGCAGAATCTCAGCAGGTGGAGAAAACGCTCTGGAGAATGGCAGTCTGGCAGCTTATTTTATACATTAGAATCAAAAGAGGAGCTGTCAGGAAGGTTACATGACATTCACTGGTGGTAGATTAAAAGGGTGGGAAAAAGCAAAGCGGGGAGAATCTCTGGGATTGGATAAAAAGCAAGATGGAGAGACACACAGTTCTTTTGCACTGGTGGGTACAGGGTAGTGAATAGTTAACATTTACGGCACAGAGAGATGGTATGTGCATGGGACAAGATAACAGTGAAAGGTTCTGTGGCCTCTGCTCTGGTGCCCGAGCTTGTGCCCTGAGGGGTCTGGAAAAAAAAGATTACACTGATATTTCAAAGGTATGTGATCACAGATGCAAAAAGACAAAAGACAGGCTCACTTAAGGTAAAGATTGACCTTTGTCAAGGAAGCTGCTACAGGCCTAGGACATGACTACTCACCATGACCTGCGTTTAGTTAGAGATTTGTGTGTTCAGATCACCCTGTGGTTACTTTCTGCTTCTAAGTTTGTAGGGCCACGCAGGCCTCCCCTGAGCTTGTCACGTTCAGTGTGTGGCTCCTTTTTCACCCATAGTGTGCTTGGCCAGGTTTTGTTCAGTTGTGCCCTGGCCAAACTCAGAGTCTTGGCCTGCTCTCTGTCAGTGAGGCGGGTGACACCCCGGCCTTGCTGAACCTCTGGCATCTCCTATGCCTCCCTGCTGCATCTGGCTGTTGCTCCCCTTGGCTTTCTGAGTGCTACCAGGAAGGAGTTTCTGGTTCCGTCTTTCCCCTAGGGATATGGAAGGTATGCAGAACCAGAATCTTTGTGGTGGGGTAGGAGTTTTCCCCGGTTTGGTTACATTTGGGAACTTTGAGGAAGTCGGCTGTCTCACACTGTGGGAAAGAAACAAAGGGCCACAGAGCAGAAGTCCTGAGCTGCACGGAGGCCCCAGGAGCCGGCCCCTGTCTCCTGGTAACCTCCTGGGCTTGTCCACCGCCCAGCCTGATGATGTCCTTGTGGGACAGACAGCCTGGGGCCCACTGAGAGTTCTGCACAGGTGACGGTCCCTGTACCCTAAGAGCCAGCTGCAAGTGGCCACTCTACCCAGCCAAGCCTGGTGACCGTGGGTGGCTCCCGTTAGCTTCCTCACCATGCACACAGCCCGCGGTCCGCCCTGTGCTTGAGGACAGCCTTCTAGGGAGAAGTGCTTGTGTAAAGTGATTGTTGGGAGTGGCTGTGCTCTGGGCAAACGCCTTGCTGCCTCAGAGTCCCTTGAGTTCACACACTCCTGGGGTCTTCACATGTCCTCTGCAGATGGCATGAGCCTGCGTCACGCCTATGTCTGTGTGTGTGTGTCTGTGTGCACATTGTGTGCCTCTCCTGTATATCTTTGTGGTGTGCCCCTGTAGTAATAGA